TAAATAATCCTGGTAGAAGTCCAAGGCTGAAAAGCAAGCGCAGCTTCTTCATGTCTCTCTGCCACAAGTGCCTTCTCCAGGTCGGCTTGGCTTCCCCTTACCCTAGCTCAAATCCACTCTTCCTTGGGTGGGGCAGGGAACCTGGAACCTCCCCTTTCCCTGAGGACTACCTGGTTACAATTCCATTTTTACAACCACCTTAGTGACAGCATGTGACTTGAACCTTTCTGATCCTGATTCTCCTCCTTCTGGGGAACTATGGTCTGGTAGCTTCTCCCCTATTCTCTGCATTGGCATCTCCTATTTCAGCATAAGATGTCTTATGGGATCCCAGCAATCTCCCTCCATCTCTTACCCGCTAACTTTGGAGATTCATCTAGGGACAAGCAGTTCTTCTGGCTGCCTTCTCAGAACTCTACAGAAAACTCAGAGTTGGATGTTAGCTTCCTCCAGCAACATGAACAGAAACTAGGGATTGTGTTTAATAAATTCTGACAAACACAGACACCTGTGTAACCCACACTCCTATCACGATAAAGAACATTTCTATTTCCACTGTCCCAAATTTCCCTTTCCAGTCAATACGCTCCTCCCTGACAACTTTGTTTTGATTTTTTATTCCATGAGAATTTTTAATTCTTCATTCTGAGAGGGAAGATAGGAGGATGGGAGGAGATGGAATTTTGTTGAGTATTCTTCCTGAGATATTGCTTATCCAGGACCTGGGGCTGTGAAACTAAAAATAAAAAAGATAGAAAGTCGCTTTCTTTGTTTCTTCTTGCATTTTAGCTATCATTCCCTTGCCCTAGGACAGTAAAGGTGAAGGTCTAGTTTGGTTTGAGAGAGAGTGAAAGAGGGTGACATGTTAAAGGACACCCCCATATCCCCCCCACCCCGCCATATTTCATAACTCAACTCTCCACTATCTCCATTATTCGTATTTTTCCCAAAGCCCTAATTATAGATATTCCCCAAGCCTCTGTCCTCTATATATTTCTGCTTATAAGCTCTGACTGCTCATTTGTGATTTAATTAATAAGTTCATGGCACAGATAATAAGAGGCTATGCTAGGCATTGAGATAATAAAGATATTAACTTAGTCTCCCTTTCCCCCAGGAGTTTAGTTTGTTTGGGAAAACCAATATGCCAGGCACTAACTTAAATACCACCCTGAATCTAATCCTCTTCCTGTGTTCTTTTTCCTCAGTGATTGGAAGTTACAACCATCCACTTCTAACTCCAGCATCCTGCAAGCCAGCACCCTGCAAGCAGAAATCAGCAGTCCTGAGCACAGAAAAAATCTACAGAGGTCAGAGTCAGCTAAAACAGAGCAGTTTGGCTGTGAAGATGCCCTGTAGGCTGCCCCGCACACCCTAATTCCAAACCCCCACACTATGTTACCCGCTGGAAGGATTAACAACAATGGAATGTTTGAACAGATCTTCACATCCGTTGCTCGGCCCTTTGACTAAGATCAAGTGTAGATCCTCACACCCACAAAAGATATTCTTTAAGATAAAGATTTTATGACCCAGCTCTTGCATTTCTCACAGATTGCATCTGACCACAGAGATAACAACCCTCTAAATGCATACAATTCACCCCCTACTTCTTATCTTTACCTAAGGATGTCAGAAAATTACCAGATAACTACTTCTAAAATAAATCTTTTGTTAGAGAATAATTAATGTGATCTTTTGTAAGCAGCCCACTTTTGACTCTGGTATATAAGCAGTAGCCCAGTGGAGGCAGTTGACCAGAACTCTTTCTGGCCCTGCTACCTGGGCCATTTCTTACTTTTGACTCTGAAAAGAAAGCACCTTTATTAACCTTTTCTCATCACAGCAATGGTTATTTTAGTCAACACTGCTCTCACCAACTTCCTAACCTTCTGAACTCATCAGTCACCAAGTCCACTGGTTTTGTCCTCAAAAGTATTTCTCCTTTTCACTCTAATTGCTGTGAGCCTGGCTCAGGACACCCTCATCCCTTTATTGGACAATGACCTCCCAGCTAGTCACTGCAGCATCTATCTCAAAGGCCAGTCTGACGGTGACAGTTCCCTCAGCTGACAGGTTCTACCTGGGAATGTCCACAGTTGTAACAACACAATGAAGGACCCCAATAATCTGATCCCTACTCCAGTCTTAACCCCTGCTGCCACCATGCTGTCTCTTGGCTGCCTTTAGTCACTGTTTAGAACTCCCACTCCCACCTCAACACACATACACATATAAATAAACTGGAATCTTGTGTCTGTGTTTCTATGGCAACCTATGCCTTTGTCTCATTGTGGATAACTGTCTCTCCCACAGGTCTGAGTTCCTTGAAGGCAAGGACCATACATGTTCCTCTCTGGGTCTTCAGTATCTAGAATAGTAAGAGCACAGCTCATGCCAGACACCATTCAAGCCTGTGTCACACATCCAGTCGTCTACTCTTCATGACACTCTGGGAGGAAGATGTCATTAGAGCATCCATGTCACAGTTGAGGACAGTTAGAGATTAATAATGGAGACTGTCCCTCAATCTCCATGTGTTTGTTGAATGAATGAATGATGACACCATTTCACTTCCCATCTCAGTATGTTCATAACCAAATTAAACATTTTTCTTCCAATAGCTTCCTTTCTCCATAACTGCCCTCCCTTGCTCCTCCAGGGTCTCAGAAAGCCTGGCATCTGACTTTCACCTCTCTCCTCCCTAATCTGAGTCACTCTCTGGTCAGGTCTAGGTGTTTCTGTTTTTTCCCTTGAAAACATGTATCAGATTTCATTCTTCCTCTCCATTCACAATTGCTGTCACCCAGCTCTACTTGTTGTCCTTTCAGGCCAGATGACCACATCCCTTCAGGCCAGATGAGTACAGCAGCTTCCTCACTGCTTTCCCTGCATTCACTCTTCCTCCACTCAGGTCATTGGTTCCTTTTTTAAAAAGATTTATTTATTGGGCCTCCCTGGTGGCGCAGTGGGTTGAGCACAGCGCTGTGAAGCTGTCCGTAGCCTCTGCAATGCCGGTTTGATTCCCGGCTGGCCAGGGAGAGACCCACATGGCACCGCAGACCTCTCCTGAGTTGCCCCCTGCTCCCCTCAGCAGTGTACTTCGGTCAGTCTGCCTGTTCTGTTCCCCGCTCTGTCTCTGGTGAGTCCTCTCTTTTTTTTAAAGATTTATTTATTTTTATACAAGAGCTGGGGTGCAGGCCAGAGATGCAGAGGGTGAGAGGATTTACCAGCAACAGTGGGGAACAGAACAGGCAGACTGACCTAAGTACACTGCTGAGGGGAGCAGCTGGTAAGTCAAGAAAGGTCTGCTGCGCCATATGGGTTGCTCCCTGGCCGGCAGGGCTGGGGATTGAACTTATGCTGCAGAGGCTGCAGATCACTTCACAGTGCTGTGCTTAACTTTTTGCACCACCAGGGAGGCCCAGGTCATGGGGTTTAAATGCATTTTTACTTAACCTTCACCAGAACCCATGAGCTAATATTCACATTTTATAGATGAGGAAATGAGTAGTAGAAACAAGTTCAAACAGAGCTTGTCTGGCTTTGAGGACTTTTTCATCTCCAGAAAAGAGCTGGGCAAGTCACTTAACTTCCAGGAATCTCAGAATTATAAAAATGGGAATAATAGCAGTCATTACTTCCTTATGCGAGCAACTGAGATAACATTTAGCGTGGTGCCTGACACACAGGACACAGAGCAAGTGCTCAATTATTATCAGCAATTAAAGTCCACAAACCACACAGCAGCTCTAGCCTATGAGCTGGCTAACTGTTCTGACCAAATCGCCTTCTGGAAGTGCTCCTGAACCAAAGCTGACAGCAAGTTGCCATATGTGGCTTCTCCTTTGCCCCCACAAAGGTGGTTTTTCCTGCGAAGCTCCAAATGCTGAATGCAAAATTTACCTCACATAGTCACTTGCAGAATGTACAGCAAAAGAAAATACAAGCCATTGTGGTGGAAAGTACACGGTATCCGTGGCTCTGCCCTCTCTAGACCATATGATGATAGGGAATCACAAAACCGCTGAACTTTCGTCACCTACTAAATGGGGAATACTACTACTTTCCCCCAAGAATACTGACAGATGTGTATGAAACCTTTTGCACCTTGCCAGACACAACACTAACACAGTCAATTAACGTATAACAGCACACTTTTTTGAAGTCCAGAACGAGACGGAGTCATAAATCACATATGGAAATCAACCATTAAAAGTAGAGGAAAGAGGGGCCTCCCTGGTGGCCCAAGAGGTTAAGACGCAACCTATGAAGCTCACCCTAGCCTCTGCGGCACGGGTTCAATCCCTGGCCAGGGGGTTACCCACATGGCGCAGCAGACCTCTCCTGTCTCGCCCGCTGCTCCCTTCAGCAGTGTATTTCAGTCAGTCTGCCTGTTCTGCTCTTGTGAATCCTCTCACCCCCTCCACACCTCTGGCCTGTACCCCAGTTCTTATATGCATAAATAAATAAATATATTTTTTTAAGCAACCCACATGGCGCAGCAGACCTCTCCTGTCTCACCCGCTACTCCCCTCAGCAGTGTACTTCGGTCAATCTGCCTGTTCTGCTCCCCATCTGTCTCTGGTGAATCCTCTCACCCCCCTGCATCTCTGGCCTGTACCCCAGCTCTTGTATGCATAAATAAATAAATCTTAAAAAAACAGTAGAGGAAAGGTAAAAGAATTGTGCAAACCAGGTGCAAAGGCGTATCCTGTAAACCAAAGGCCTGCTGCGACGCAACTCGCAGCTCCACCCTCGAAGCCCAGGGAGGAGGGAGAAGCCCCGCCCCCGCGACGCTGAGCCCCGCCTCCAGGGTCGCGCGACGCGGCGCGAGGCCCCACCCACGAGGAGGCGGAGCCTGACCCTGGCCACGTGATCTCGGGTGCGGAAGTGGTTCGGCGGGCCGCGATCGTGGTTGGCAGCAGCCTTGGGTCCCGGGGGCGGGGTCAGGCCGGCCGGACGCGCCGGGAGGAGCCGGGGGAGGAGGCCGTCGCGGGGGCCGGCGCGGGAGTCAGGACTAGGTCTGCGGGTCTACGAAGAGCTGGGTCGTCCGCGATCCATTGCGCCCCGGCTTGCGCGTAGCCGCTGCTCTGGGGTACCCCGGCCGAGGCGGCGGCGGGAGGCCAGTGGGGTGGGCGTAGGAAGGCCGGGAGGGCGCGGGCGCCCTGCGAGCGGAGCAGGGGTGAAGCGGCCGGGGGCCGGGACGCCATGTCCATGGAGGACCCCTTCTTTGTGGTGAAAGGGTGAGTGTCGCTGAGGGTTCCCCTGGAGGAGGAGGTGTGTGCTGCCTGCCCCATCTCCCGTCCCTCGCTGTAGGAGGAGGGGAGGCCAGTGGAGGCTGGGGAGGGGACAGTGGAGTGGGCACCTTGAGGTCCACGACCTGGCGTCCGAGACATCCCCTCCCCGTCCTACCTGGACTGGGAAGCGCGTGCCTCCAGCCGATCCCCTGGGGAGGAGAAGGCCGTCTTCTGGGCCTGGGCGCTGCGGTACAACTTACTTGGAGATCGAGGGGCTCAGCGGCTCCGCAGGTGGTGAGGGCGACCTGTGTCCTGGCGCACCCTGGGGCTGTGGTGGAGCACGAGGCCCCTTCCAAGTAGGGAAAACAACATCTAGGCAGGAAAAGGGAAATGACCCTCTGAGCTTTGTAGTCGGCGTTGACGGGGGTGCGCTCCCATTGTCCATTGAGTTGGGAGCGCTAGCCCGCAGACTGGAGAGACCACAACATGTCCAGAGGCGTCTGAGCACGTTTGCAGGCCGGGAGGCCGGGAGGCGGGGGCGGTGTGGCTCGGTGAGGCTGGGGAGCCGAGGCTCCGGAAGGCTGCTCAGTGCAGTGGGGGAGTTCATGAGCAGTGGGAGAAGAGGAAAGCAGTCGGTCCTACCCAGTTGATGATGTTGGAAGGGAAACAAAATGAAATCGGCCAAACTAAACTTTGCTCAGCTTTCTATTAGCAACCGCGATTTTCCCACAGAGCTAAAGGAAGTGAGTGCTTTCTTTTAACCTCTGGTTTCATCCAGGCTATTTGACAGATTTCCCCCATTTCTTCTTATTCTGCCTTTCAGACTAGAACTGCTTTAATTTATTTTTCCCTGCGAGCTGTCCTGACTCCATCTTTGCTTGTTCGATTGTTTGGAGATAGACACTTTCATTCCACTTTGTTTATCAACTTTGCATTTATCAGCTAAGCAAGTGCAAGAAAGATGGGTTTTGATGTCAAACGTATTTCTAATAACGTATCGGCTTTATGTTTTAAATATCAAACAAAAAAATCGACAGTAACAAAGTTCCCAGAAGAGTAGGATTGAAAGTGAGTGCAACACTTGCTTTCATCTAGTTGCTGTTAGCTTCTTATTTTTGTAGTGGTGAAAGTGTTTGCTTGGGTGTTGGTTTTGTTTTAAGGGTTCTTAGAAAATTTGAATGGTACTTTAAGTAAAATAGTTTATTATCCATGATAAGGTAAAATACATTTATATACTTAACATTTTTCTAGTGGCTTTTCTTCATCTTTAATTTAGATAGGAAAATACTGAGTTGTAAGTTTTTAGTAATATGTGACTCTCTAGCTGGAAAACGTGTTATTTATTGGAAGGGTTGATTTAGGGGTTACTTTGTAAATGTTAAAACTGTGTGTTTTCCCTTTAAATAAAAGTTCTTAATACTTAGGCTGCAGAGATTATCTCTAGCCATGGAGACCAGAGATAATCAGAAATGGTTTGACTGTTTTTTTAGATGAAGATTATTTATTGATGTGACTTGTGTGTTTGATTTTTAATGAAATGTATGCACACCCTACATTGCTCTGCCATCTTGACATTTTTTTCCCTGATAGTATCCTGCTCAGACTTTCAGTGTTTGCTCACTGATTAGATATACTTTATGGGAAGATTGCCTTGGAGATTTGGTTGACTTTTACCTTTTACACGATTTTAGCTCATGTCCAAAGGTGTCTGAAGGAAAAGAGACTATCTATACCTTCTGCTGTGAAAAAGTAAAATCAGCCATGCGGGTGTCTGCAGACTGTAAGATGGCATATTTGGGGGAGGCATGTGCCTCCATTTATTAAACTTACTGGAGATGCATCACACAGTGTGGAAAAATTTAAAGACGCCTGAATTGTGGCTCTTAGCCTAGAAGCTGATAGTCTAATCTGAGAAACAGCTCATCCCAAAATTAAGTATAAATGACAGGTGGTAAATGATTACATGTCACAGTGAATGCTATAGAAGATTAAGTGCCTAGTAGTTCAGAGAATAGCAACGCAGTGAGATGGTTATGATTGGAAAAGCTCTTGGCGGCAGTAATAGATCTTGAATTAGTTTTGAAGAAGATAGAATTCAGATAATACAGGCCTGTGTCTCATTTGGAGTTTTATCAAAGAGTTTCTTATTTGGTATTCCTGCTTCTAGTCTTTTGTCTGCCCTTGGTTCTCTTGGATTAGTGCTATCCAGTAAAGGCAGAATGTAAGCCATCTATAGCACTTTATATTTCCCAGTAGCCACATTAAAAAGTAAAAAGAAATAGGTGAAATCTATTTTAATGTCCTTTAACCTGATAAATGAAAAAATATTATTTCAGATTATGATTAATATAAGGATTATTGAAATAGTTTACCTTTTTTTGTACTAAGTCTTCAAAATTTATTGTGTATTGTACAACACATCTCAATTTGAACACTAAATTTTCATCTGAAATATTTGATATGTATTTATTATAGTTGAAAAAGTATATCCATACACTCAAAATAGCTCCAAACACAGACAAATTCTGGTAACTGAGCTGCACATCAGTTTTTAGATTTAAATTAGATTAAAACATTTAGTTCCCCAGTCTCACTAGCCCTATTTGAAGCAATCAGTAAGTTACCTGTGGCTTCCAGAATGTGTAGCATAGGACGAGCTTTTCTAGAACCGAAACAGGGGCTATTATCTAGTGGCTGCCTGTTGCCTACAGAATAAAGTCCACACACTTCATGACCTCCACGATCCAGCCTTCCTCTCCTTTCCGCTGCCTTTGCCCTCCCTTGGCTCCACAGGTGGTAATGCTAGGATGAGGGAAGGACCAGATTCCCTTGTTTCACATGTTCACGCTGCCTGATTCCCTGCACAGCTTGCAAGGTTCTGTGTAAGCATCTCCACTGTCTCCAGGAAGTGCTTCACTTGGCACCTGAAACACATTATTGCACCTCTTCCTCTGGCTTCTTTGCTGTCTTTCATTAGGAGATTATGAGCTCTGAGGGTTGGGACTGTTTGCTTTTCCTGTATTTCCAGCCCAGCACCTTGAACACATGGCATAAATGTTGAATGAATACTGTTCAGTGGTGGCAGTGGCGAAGGAGTGGTGTTTGGTGGCTGGGAACATCAACAGCCAAGGCCCTGAGATGGGCACTGTGTGTTTGGAAAGCATGAAGGAGAGTAGCCCATGTGGTGGAGGAGGTTTATTTGGGGAAGTAATAATAATAGAGACAGCTAACATTGAAAGACTGCAAGTCCTATGCCGGACAGTATGTGCTGAGTAAGCACTGTACATAAATACTCACTTTATAAGAACTGCTCTATAGGGCCTCCTCTGGAGGTGCAGGCAGTTGAGCGCCATGCTGTGAAGCTGTCCGCAGCTCTGCAGCGCTGGTTCGATCCCTGACAGTGGTGAGCATCCCACATAGCATGGCAGACCTCTCCTGTTGTGTCTGCTACTCCCCTCAGCACTGTATTTCGTCAGTCTGCCTGTTCTGTTTCCTGCTCTGTCTCTGATGAATCCTCTCATCCTCCCGTGAATCTGGCCTGTACTCTGGTTCTTGTGTAAATAAATAAATAAATAAATGAATCTTTAAAAAAAAATAATAACTGCTCTATGATGTGGGTACCAGTCACGTTTTGGGGAGGAACTGAAGAAGGACAAAGGGGTAGTCACTTGTTGAGGTTCATACAGCTACATAGGTGTATGTAGCTTCACATTTGAACAGTCTGTTTCCACTCAGACTGTTAGCGCGTTATATAGTACAGACAAAATAGGTTCAAGGAGAGTCTCATCTTGGGATTTTGGAGATGTAAAACCTGTAAATGATAAGAAATTAGGGTTTTAGGAATACTGATTTGGTAGTAGTATTGAAAGCATCTGTAGCACCAGGATGGCCCAGAGCGGGGTTTCTATGATCCGGCAGACGGGTAAAAGAGAGTCCTGGAGTCCTTGGTGGCTTTCTCAGACTTTATTGAGCTTTTACGTGTAGTGCTGCAACCAGGTACACGGCAGGCAGGGGTGCTGGGGGGCCAGGAGACCAGCAGGCCTCCAAGATCCCGGCAAGTCTTCACTCTGGGCTTCTCTGGCATTGTTTCTCCACTTCTCTCTCCTGCCTCTGCTTCTCCCTGCGAATATCTCTATACTCCTTGTCTTGGCCCACAGAAGTAAACAACATAACTTACAGCATTGTAACAAAATGCAGATGCCCCATCAGGCAGGGCCATCCCAATGGCAGGAGGGCAGAAAAGCCTGAAAACCATTTACCCTACAGCATCCTTGTGAAGAAAGACTGAAGAGGAGACCAGTTAGAAAGCTGTTTTAATTTAAACTTGTACTGATTGGTGCCTCAAAGACACCAATGTTTGAGGCTCATTTTGTGAGGTCAGATGTTGTCAGTGTTTTGATCAGAGCAGAATCTCAGCACAGGACATCACAACTGCACAGCTGGGCTCTTAGGGCAGATGTGGCCCTACCTTGTCAGGCAGTGGTGTTTACCCTCCAGAACTTGGTCCCAGAAGCTCTACTGCTTCACCGCTGGGCTGCCTCCGTCCTTTCACACGTGCTTAAGTTGCCTGTAGCCATGTCAGTGGATCCTCTTGTGTGTTCTCACTGGGTAGCTTGCTTAGTCCCATTGTGTCAGGTACTCCCTGTTTATCTGCGCTCAGCCCCCACCATGGTCACTCCATACTTTCTATTAATGAGCCCACACGCCCCACCTCTGGGGTAGCTGTCTTCCCCTTCTTTTCTTATCCTTGCCTGTCCCTACAGATGCCTCACCCATCCTCCTCTTAGCCTACTTCCCTCTTGTCTCCACATTCGCCTGCAGTCCCATGTCTACTTGTGCGTTGTGAGCATTCAGTGCCATCCCTTGGATGTCTCTGGAATCTTTTTCTTCCTCTGTAGTTTTGATTTCTCTACCCTAGTGTATGTCCTCTTTCCTACCTGGATTCCTGTAAGCAACTTCTTCAGCAAGCCTGCTGGCTGCCAGTCTCATCCCTGTAGGTGATGTGA